AAATAAATAAAATAATGAAATGAAATTAAATGAAATAAAATAAATGAAAATAAAATAATATTATGAAATAAAATAAAATAATTAAATTAAATTAAAAATAAAATAAAATATGTGAAAGTAAATTAAAATACAATAACATGAAATAAAATAAAATAAAAAACAATTGCATGAAATAAAAGAATGAAATGAAATCTATGAAATAAAGGAAAATAAAATATATGAAACAAAATAAAATATATGAAATTAAATAAATTAAAATAAAATAAAATATATGAAATGAAATAAAAGAAAAGAAAATAAAAATGAAATACATTAAATAAAAGAAATTAAAAGAAAATAAAAGTTTTTAAAACACCCCTCAGTTACCCCATCTCTAGATCAAAAAAAACCTCAATCCAACAGGATCGAGTCCGAGCTGTGCCCGATCCCTTCCTGGTCCCAGCCCATCCCAGAAGGGAAGGAATAATTAAAATTAAAATGTTAATGAAGGCCCAGCCCTGAGTGGTCACTGCAGATCCTCACCCACTCTGCACCATGCTGGTGGCTGTTCCTGTCCGGGAAGGGAAGGAGTAATTAAAATTAAGTGTTAATGAAGGCCCAGCCCCAAGAGGGTCACCTCACTGCCCTCAGCTCCTGTCTAGAGATGGGAAATCACCTTATCCTCAGTGTCAGTCACAGAGGGAATAAGGGGGAATTGCCTTTTAAAAAAGCTGTGTTTTATTAAACACTAGGAGGAAGCTGGCTCACAGCATTCCTGATTTGGGGTGGATTTGTCTCTGGTGCCCACCCAGTGACACCTTCCACTGTCCCAGGGTGTCCCGGTGTGCAGCCCGGCCTCGGGCACTGCCAGGGATCCTTGTGGGAACCCCGGCCTTGCTCTGGGGTCCCATGTGGTGGTGAGATTCCTCCTCCAAGCCGTGCTTCCAAAGAAAAACTGCGCAGGCTCTTCCTGTTCGGTCTCAAGGCAGTTTATTGTTGGTTATCTAAAAGATTTTCTCCTTGAGCTGCTGTGGTTTGCTCAGCAGCCCAGGCAGAGGCACACACACACCCTGACATCCTCTCTGTCTGGTGTCCTCTTCTTCTCTCCCCGCCCAGGGCTGCTGCTGTCTTTTATATTATATATTACGTGTTACATGTTTATAGTTTTCCCCCAATACCTACTACCTGTATTACAAAGTGCTTTCCTACTCTAAACCAATCTGTGAGTGCCAACATCACCAAGAACATGGAGGCAAGAAAAAAGAAGGAGGAAGAACAGGATCAGCCCACTTTCCTCCATCTTAGAACTTCTGACCCCCATGTGCAAAGTAAAAACCCTCCTGTACAAGTCTTAAAACCCCCCTGTACAATACTAAAAAAAATTTCCCCTCTGTTTTGTAACTACTTTTACGATACTCTCCAACCTTTTGTGATTGCTTGTTCCACCTCCAAAGTTGGTAACTCATTCCATGGCTCAAACCCAAAATCACAACTGTTTCCAGCTGCCTGTCAGGGTCTAAAATGCTTCTGACCAAGGCCTGGAACCTCTAAAAATGTCTGAGAGACATTTTGAGTTCCAGCAATCCTAATCGCTGAATTCCCCAATTCCCAGTCTCCCCTCCAGCCCTGCCCTCTGGCACTGGGATCCGTCCCCTGGGTGCCGTCAGTGGGGCTGGGGATGGGGAATCAGGGAAGGGCAGGGTGGGAGGTGGCGATGGGGACAGCGTTCAGGACGTGTCCCCTGCCCTCAGGAGGGACCCACCTGAGGGGAGGCTTTGGGGCCAGCACTGTGGGGCACTCGGAGGGTGGCACGTGGGGAGCAAACCCGTGTGTTTTTGGGGTTCTGTGCCCGGCACGGGGTGACCCCGCTGTGCTCCGTGTCTCCTGGAGGGTCACACGTGGGGA